GGGCCGTGGTCTCTAGAGGCTTCAGGGGTGTGAGGGGCTGGGGTCTCTAGAGGCTTCAGGTGTGTCAGGGTCTCTAGAGGTCAGGTGTGTGAGGGGGGCGGTGTCGGGGCATCGTAAAAGGGAGTCTTTAAGTAGCTGCTTTCAGTATCGAGGGAGGTTTGTTGAGGAGTGTGTCTTGCGGGGAGGTTTCGTCAGGAAAAGGTGGCTGGTAGCTAAGAAAAAGAGAAGGTTTGGGTTTAGCTCTGGTGTGCCTGGAGGAGGAGAGGCCTGGAAGAAATAAGAAGGAGCTTTATCAGTGGCTAAGAGGTCTGGATTAGGAAGAGCACAGGGCAGAGAGACAGGGTAAGATAATACACTGGTTTTGCTACACGTTGTGGTTCCCTACTAGCTCTGCATCTAGAGGCAAACACTTCTTTGTAGCTGCAGAGCCCCACAGTGGCTTTTCCTTGGCAAGCTTTTGAGTACTTTTCTGCTAAATAAAGCTGAAGGAGTAGAGCTTTATCTTTTGCCTTGTGCAGCCTCATTCTACCTCATTGTTTCTGAGAGCTGTTATGCTCCTGGGTTTTCTTCTAGGACCATTCTCCCATGGCCCTTTGAAACAAAAGGTACAGGAACCTGAAAGCTGTGTGTGTTCCAGACTCAGGCTGTTTTGCCTTATGTTCTTCAAAGGCCAAGGTGCCATATTACAGGTTTTCTTATTGCAGGCATCTAATTTGTGCAATAAATGAGTTGCTGTGACATTTGTTTATGAGCCAGGGTTTGTAAACTTAAATTATTTTTCCCTGTTTTGTACAAATGGAAAGAAAAACACACTAAGTGTAACTTCAGTGTCGGCTGCTCTGTGATCAGCTGGTGCTGAGAGAGCAGGAGGCAAAAAAACTTGCCCTAAAAGTGAGTGTATGTGTGTAAAACACCAAGCGAGGGGTGATGAGATAAACAGTTTGGATGGAGCCAAGAGCAATAGCTTGACAGGAGAAGCTGAAGCTTTCCCTGACAGCTCCTTGGGGCGTCGGCAGGGAAGGGAAACACTTGCATTCCTGAGAGCTGAGCAAGCTCCCAGTGGGTTCCCGCTGGATGCCTGGGAGATGACAGCAGAGGGTGGCTCCAGAAGGCTAATATTAAACACGAGGAATTAGTACAGAGGGAGCAAGTGAGGTTCCAGTTCTGACCACAGAATGAGCTAAAAAAAAGTGTTGCATCAGCAGCTGTGTGCAGTTTGTTACGGGCTGTGCTCAGGTCCTGCTGTTCAGAGGGTCCCTGGGTGCCCTTGTGATGGTAACTGCTCCTGCCCTTCGTGTGGGGGTGGCAGGGGGACCTTCAGAGCAAGGGGCAGTGACACAGGATGAGTTGCCCTTTGTCCAGGCACGTTTCCAATGGGTGTGCTGGCCACAGCTGTACGGACCAGGCACACCGGGGACAGGGTGGGCTGAATGTGTGGGCAGGTGGAAGAGGTGCAGACAGGAAAAACAGGAGGAAAAAAATACTGTTTATAAAGCTTTGAGGTGGCTCTGGTTGGTTCTGTTGGAAGAGCTGTAGCCAGCCCCACCTCTGTTTGTGTGACTTTGGGAAAGTTACTGGAGCAGCGAGCGGCCCGTGGGCTGGCACACGCCGTGTGGCACCTGCCACTGCACCCCTTCCTGGTGGCCCTCT